AGATATGCATGCAGAAATTAGGAAAAAGACCAGAAGTGGTGGATAGACCAGAGCATTCCTTAAGATTTTCCAGAGGGTGAAAAAATTGGAAGAAGAAGAAAAACCTTATAACACAGTTTTATTAGAGGACCCTAACCTTATGAAATAATTAGTAGTCCAGTGTGGCTGGGTCTACAGTGTCAGTATGATTACAACAGTAAGTAAGGTAAATGCAGTAACAACTGTAACTATGTCAGAATTTCCTTTTGAAGATATTCACAATAAATTCATTATTTAGCACTTTACTTCTTCATCTGCTTCTTCTTCTTTTTCTTTGCGTTTACCGGCTTTAAACTCTGGTGGAAAGTACCGGTTGTTCATCCATTTCTGGACTCTAGTCCTGTTCCTGAAACTTAGAGTTGCATGTACATACGTTTCACAGATCTGACTCATTTTCATGCAGACTGTTGGTTCCTTGCCTCTCAGGCAGATGTACTCCGACTATGAAGAAACCTCCCATTTAGTCGACTCTTACGACATGCTTTTGGACAGACAGTGGGCTACAATTCTTGTTTTTCCCACAATGGGGCCTTGGAACCAACACGGGGATAGCACTTTACTAATATCCTAGGATACACACAAGAGAAAACACCAATCTGTTCACATTTTAATGCAAGTTTAGCAGCCCATTTAAAAGAATCACAGCCATTCAATTCTTTACCTCCTTATTCAGATTAATAAATAAGCATTTTAAAACTCACATTTAACCGGATAATTCAACATTCAGTTTTTCATTTTTATACTCTCTATATACAACAAATTTCACCCAAACGTGCGACCATAAGCACTCAGCTCGAGAGAAGGGAAGTAGACATGGCTGACTCTGAGCCTCCTCATCAAAAACAGCCCGCTGTTGTTGACAGAAGGTCAAAGTTCAGACACCAGATCTTTTATTTAAAAGTCATAAAATAGTTTATTTCAATGAGTACAAAAATAGCAGGGTCCATTCATCAAGAATGTGCCCCTTGTATAATGTAAATAGCACAAAAAAAGTAATGCTTACACATATCAAATGTAATGTTACACAGTTATGAGACTGAACTATTATGAATATTCATAAAGAAACTGAAAGCTTGTCTTTGAATATCCCAGACAGATTACTAAAATTACTTGTATTTAACCATACCAGACAGCACACTGACATGACAACTTGTATTTGAACATATCAGGCAGTACACTGACAACACAGCTTGTACTTAACTATATTAGACAGTACACTGACACAACAGCTTGTACTTAACTATATTAGACAGTACAGACAGTACTATATTGACACAACAACACTTGTATTTAACTATATATCAGACAGTACACTATATTAGACAGTACAGCAAGAATGCACTTAACTATATTAAACACAAACACTGTACTTAACTATATTAGACAGTAATACCTTCTGCTTGTACTTAACTTAAACAGTACCAAGACAGTACATGCTAGACATAATGACACAACTTGTATTTAACCATATCAGACAGTACATTGACACAACAGCTTGCACTTAACTATATTAGACGGTAAGTACACTGACATAATACCTTTTATTTATACATCCAAAACAGTACATTGACATAATAACTTAAAATTAACTATACCAGACAGTACACTGAAATTAACAAATAGTCTTTGACCATATCAGACAATACACAGTCTGACACCTAACAACATGTCTTCATCAATATCAGAAAATACATTAAGTCCCCAATATTTTCCTCACTGTACATGGCTAAATGTTTACTTTAACACACTTTTATAAACTGATACAGTTTACACAAAATAAACTCTTGTCTGACTCACTAATCAGAAAGAAACCTACAGATAAAGACAGCCACTTGATATTCTTTTACCATGTTTGATTTAAGAACAAAATTGTGCGAGATTAGTTTCTTTGTCTCATCTTTGTTTCTGTGTATCAGTCTTTGTTTTTTTAATAGTGAAAGACTACTTCAGATTAATTTACTTATTTACTATAGTTGTATTCTTAGAATACCATAGACAAAGAAGAAAAGAAATATAGACATTTCAAATGATCTGAACATCAAGGAAGATTGGCTAATAAACAGCATCTTGTCTCAGAAGCTGAATTATTTTGGTTTTATCAAGCGCCATGGCGAATTGAACAAATAATAGCAGAAGGCATGGTGCCTGGAAGGAAGGGCAGGGGCCGACCAACACGAAGATGAGCACATGATATAACTGACTCCTTGATGAAAGTACACGAGGGGGGAGAGCTGGCAAGAAACCAAGTTTCTTTCAGGCAGACCGCGAAGAGAGCAACGTTTTGCAAAGGACCTGCTACATGATAATGACTATAGCAGTGGCTTCCAACCCTTTTCAACCCCATTTTAAAGAGGCACAGTGACCTGTGACCTCATATATTAAAAATAGGCTTTTTAATACTTTATTTAAAGAATGCCCTGAAACTATCTGCAACAACGAGCCACACTGAGAGTTACAACAGGTATAGAGCGAGAGGAAGACCTTGTAAAATATGGAGTGATGGCATTAAAAACAGCCTTACAGAAAATGAACAAATGAACATCAATCTTAATAGTGCTCTTGACAGACGTTACATCCCCGCCCCCTCCCCCGACACTTCAATGAGGTACAAGGTGGAAGAGAAGAAGAACTTTGAAACACACAAAAATTAGATTTTTCAGTGTAATTTATCACCAAGAATTGACCAGTCACAAATCAAATTGCTATATCGCTATGATTTTGTAATTTCGGAGGCTTATGTCATGGGAAAGCTAGAGGCAAAAGGAAAGGGAAGAAATTAGAAATATCTGTGAATTGACAAACCCTATATTTCTGTACTGTACTTCACTTAGTTGTTTGCCAGATGATTAATTGTTTTCTAGTAAACAGAGTATACCTCTATTAATCCCTCCTCTTAGTACATTCTCATCAACACAATCCACAGATAGGTTTCAAGCTGTAATTCACTATAAAGATTTCTAGTTCATAAACTATCCAGGTTTACCATTTATCAACTATTCAGATCTATCATTAACCAGTCACAAAGCTTGATCTTTCACTATTCACCAAGAATTAACTTTGGATAATTATCAAAATTTATCATTCACCAGACATCAGCATTACCTTTTACCAATCACCAAAATCCATTTCTCAACAAACAACATATTAATCTTTCAGCAATTTAACACGATTCCCTTTTCATTAATCATCTATACTCATCTTTCAATAATCACACATATTTACTATTCACAAGTCAAAATGTATCATTTGCTTATCACCTAAAAATCTAACCAATCAACATATGCACCTTTCATCAGTCATCAAAGTTCATCTTTCACTGATCAAATTTGCTCTTTAAATCACCAATGAATTCTGTTTCACCTGTTACCATGACTCATCACTCAGCGAAAAAGACACTAGCCATTTTATTTTGTGCTGAGCAGACAAAGTTTTCATCATAGTGCAGAAACTAAGGATCAGTTTTGTTTTACAAAAATATATAGACACAATGACTTGTGCACTTATATGAATTCAAGATAATTGTATGAAATATGTAAAAAAAAAAAAAAAAAAAAATATACATAAATAAATAAAATAAAAACACATAGCCAAATGTTAACAATTTAAAGAGATAAACAATGATGACAGTAAAATAGCAGCACTGAGATTTAGCAACAAGTCTCTTGCCTTGATTAAAAAAACAATCACAACAAAATTATATATTTACAAACTTACTACATCTCACAGAACAAAACATACCAGAAAAAAGGATTGATAGTAAATGCAAACCAAAAATGCCTTTATCTGTCTAAGGAAACTAAATAACACTAAACATTAAGGGATGAAAAACTTGAAAAAATAACAAAACAATTAAAATTTTACACACACACAAAAAGCAGTATATCAATGGAAATCAGTGGCACTTGCATAATTAACATTTGTTTGTTAATTATTTACACCTCTCCAAACTTTCAAAGATTTCTTTTTGTAGTTTAGTTAGTAATATCCAGTTCTGTTTCATTCGGTAGCTGGTTCACAAAACCAATAATCCAGTATGAATATGAGCAAACTTACATGTCACTAATTGTGAAGACATGACGTATCACTGAGTGAAATCACACTGTTGAATCACATGTCACTAACTGTGAAGCATGTCTTATCACTGACAATATCTTATCAATTATATTATATATATTTTCCAGTAAGAATATCAGTAGAGTAAATAACCTGTCATTGTCTGTGAAAAAAATGACTTCTCATTAACTAGCGTATTCACTTGTGTTGATTATATAGTTTCCGGTATTTTCCAGTCAAATCACATTTCATTAACTGTGAAAAATAGCTAATCACTGAACGTGATATCATGTTAACACACGGAGATCATAACTTTTCCAGTATCAAAACTGAACTTTCCATTTTGACAAAGAAAGCTAGACTTTCAGCCACATGCACTTACATTTTTTATCTAAGCTGTTGGGATTAAGTAAAAATTTTTTTTTTAATTATCACTGCTGAGCTATGAAATCCCACTTCTGATATCAAACTCTGCACATAACTACACAAAGCCAACTGATGTTTCAACTGCATCATATTAGCTGTGTCTTGTTGTTTCATTTGTCTCTATGTACACATTAACACATGTGGTTATATTCAAAGGCAAAAAGCTTGTGCTGTTTCACAACTGTATCTGGTGGGCCTTCCTTAGAATATGAATTCTAGCTTTTCAGGAACAGTGTCTTAAATAAGCTTCACCTCACTGGTACATAGTAACAACGCTGGATTAAGGATAAATCCATCAGCAAGTTTATATTGTTGAACCAGCATAAAGCAGTCTTTAGTGAAGCTGTCATCACAGATAAGAGCTTGGGAAGATAGACAGCACTCCAGCTGAGGCTTGAGCCATCATTTATTGATGATTCAAATCAATGAAAATTCATTTGCTGGTTTAAACTCCAGCACTTCAGTCATTCTAAGGAAAAAGTTCAGACTTGAGCTGCTTCTGATTCAGCATCAGTACACGAATCTTCTTTTCTTCGGGACAGATCATTCAATTTTCTGCCACATTCAGACACATGAACCTGCAGAGAATAAGACATTGTTAATTTTAGAAAGAAAAAAAAGTCCAGGAAACAATTTATAAGGAAAGATAATACTATAAATGACTTTTTCTTATCTCAGCCTTTTCTGTCTAACTGTATAAAAGGTTCAAATTCTTATATTTCTTTTCATCATGGTCACACAGTTTTAAGATCACCAGTCATGGCTCCTTAAAATACCAAGAATATGTAGCAGACCTGATACAGAAGAAAAGCTGTTCTGTGCTGATGTATGGGTACCAGCACATTTGCGAATAGGAGCAAATTAAACGGCTCACGAAGAAGCAAAGAAACGTAGCAGTTTATGATGATTTTTTTTTTTAAGTTCTTTCCCTCCAGGATTGCATTTTGTAGGATTAACATCTCAAAGATGAGAATAAAACAGATAAATATCCCAGATACCTTGTTCAACTCTACAACTATATAGCACATTATATTGGGGCACCAAAAAATGGTTACAAAGTAACCTGTTGTCCAGTGAGGATAGGTATGTTTTTAAAAAGAAAGGCAGAAGTAAGAAGGTAAATTTGCCCCCACCAGGACATCACACAGAGCGATAAACACCCAGCAACACAAAGTGCTACCATGCGGATGAGGATCACCCGTGGAGAGGTCCCAGAAACCCCCTTCAATCATAAGGTTAAATTAGGACCCCCGGCAACAGGGGTGGGGCTTTAAAATAACAAAAAACTAGAAACAATGACAAACTACTGACTGAAAAACTGCCTAGAGAAACCACAAACAGTGAACAAATTTTGAAGTTTGTTTGCGAAACCCAGTTAAGGATTTGCAACAAACCTTTATTATTAATATATAAAACACACACTTATAATCTATTCTTCTGGGTACTTACAACCTATATATTATAATATGATTTGATTTGATTTGATTCAAGAACTGACATCCCATGAGCGCTCCATCCCCATCTTCAGCAGCCAGTGAAAAGTTCTGATACTAATGGTGCCAGTAGCTTTCTGATTAAATGTCCGTCTTGCCTTTCCTCTGAGCCTTGAGCTTCTGCCAGAACCTCTCGTCACCCCCAACTGCATCAATCTCACCAGACTGTGGTGATCCATCTGCTCCTCCGTATTGTACACGCTCTCCCACAAGGCACTAACCACGTCTGCCCTATCATGTAGCAGTATTCCACCAAGTTGTGCAGAGCCAGCCAGTCTGTCCGCCTGTTCATTTCCAAACACACCGGCGTGACCCGGTGAAAAAATCCAGACAATACTCCTCACTCGTGTCCTCCGCAGCGAAGCATGCCACTCTGCACGAAGCATACCTGTTCTGATCTTCCTCAGCATGCTTTCTGAATCAGTTACAATTACAATGTGTGTGTGTGTCGTGTTCTCTAGCCAGCGGAAAGCTGCAGTGACCGCCTCCACCTCCATTGTTAAGCTGGATGTTGTGGTATCATATGCTAGGCCCTCCTGCACCAAATGTCGACCATTAACTTTTGCTAAAAAGCCCCAAGCACTTCTTTTGCCTCTTGACACTGAACCGTCTGTGTAAATGATCAAATCCTCTAAGCGCGCATTATCTTGAATTAATTGCTGAATTTCCACCTCTGTGGCACCTGCTGGCCAGTCTCTGCATTCCCAGCTCAGCGTGATTATGACTCTACACAATATTATAATATAAAATAGCCTAAATTATGAAACAAATGTAAATATCCAATAACTGAAAACACTGAATTAAAATAATCCAGAAGGGTATCTATCATTGAATTTCTGCTACTTCAAAATCATTAAACTTAATAAATTGAAATTCTGTTTATCTCCCTGTGGAGCATATGTCCTCAACCAGCTCACATTAAGTTGTCCTATGCTTTGCTTTTGCATGCAGCTCACCCCATGTCCTGCTTATCTTATAACCCTATTCTCTATTTGCCTTCTTCTTGTGTTTTTGTTCTGCCTTCATTTCTATTCCCCTGTGGGTTCCAGTGCAAAGACACTCTAGGTACACTGTTTTTAGGTTTTCTCAAAATGTTCTATCCAATGCCAACATCTTTTTTTTTTGCCCTCCTGATTCACCTGGATTTTCTCAGTTCTCTTTCAGACATTAGTAATTTTATCGTACTATTTCATCTCTTCTATTCAATGCAGGCAGTTTCTCTTTTTGACCTTTCCATTGTGGATGTATGAGCTCGGATTATATCCATGTTATTATTTTAATGTTCTGTCATGGACCCCATACTTCTTACTAGTAATATTGAAAAACTGTTTATAATTTATCAACTTTAGACTAGCAAAATATGTTGCAATCTAAAGTTGTGAGTAAATTATAGAACCTACTACCTAATTTGTTCTGCATACCACCAAGTGGGAAATACTGAACATGGCTGTTAGAAATACTTCTATTCTGATGGCTGTAATTTTAAAGCCTTTTTAGGAGAAAATTGAGAAGTATGTCAGAAAGAAAAAAAAATTAAACAATTTCAAATTACCATGAAGGATTTGCTGCCAAAGTAAGGTCGTTCTGAGGAGCCATCATTCATATCACAGTCCTCACAGAAACACAGTAATAACGCATGTAAAATCATCTGAGGAGGAGAAAAATAACAATTAAGTATGAAACAAAACAGGCATGTAGAGACATTACAGAGGCAGATTTGACAGTTAATAACAGCACTTACTTTATATAAAATATGTAAACTGGATAGAAAATCAGTTTTTTTTTTTCTTCACTTTTTCTTCTTCTTCTTCATGTTCATCAGCTGTAAACTATGAAGGTAGGGACAGGCATGCTTCGTGCAGAGTGGCAAGCATCACTTCAGAGGTCCCGGGTATTTAGCATCCTTTAGATATTTTCTCCAGGTCATACCTGTGTGTTAGGAAATGAGCAGGCAGATAGACTGGCCAGCTCTGCAACACTTGATTATGAATTGATTTATGATAGATTAGATGTTGTGAGGGCCCTTTGGGAACGCCTAAACAGTGTGGAGGCGCAGATAGATTATTAGAATGGCGCTGCGAGGAGTTACCAGGGAATCTGGCTGACGCTCAACACTCAGGAGAAAGATGAGATGGATTTACAATCAGACAGTTACTGGTGCCATCATAATTGGAACTCTTTACTTGCTGCTGAAGATTGGGATGGAGCACTTATGGGAGTGTCCCGGGTGCTGTGATGTCGATTCCTAATTCAACATCCAACAACATTCAACTGTAAACTCTAGCAAAAAATTCTGGTTGTTTGTCCGCCTCCAGGCTTTGGTCTTGTTCCAGAACCTGACTGTTGTGTGCACATCTGTTTCACAAATATGGCTAATCTGAATGCAAATTGTTGGTTCCTTGTCTCTCAGACAGATGCACTCCTACTTTGAAGGAAGCCCCCAATTAGAGATAATTTCAGGTTCGTGAACATTTTATGAAATTTACCTAATTAACTTTCCTTTCTAATTGAAATTAATAGTAAAGTATATACATTATAAACTAGAAACAAGAAAATTGACTTATATATATATTTATAATACAACGGTTATACTTAAAAAAAATCTATAATATACAAGAGAAATCGTCCTCTTTTCATGCAGCTCTTGGTATACAGTCATTTACAGCCTTTATTATACAACATTTTAGGGTAGTGTGGGGCAAGGAGGTCATCATCAACTAGAGAATTTGAGACTGCATGGCCAGTGCAGTCACTATGATTTGTGCAGGTTAGGAATTTGTGCTGTTGTCACAAGACAGGATTCAAACCTGGGCCTCTCTCATGGTATAATGACTTGTGAAGTGGTCAAGCTATTTACCTCACACTCTAAAGGTCTTGGGTTTGTTTCGCTGCTGCGTATTTCAGTTCGCGAGTGCAATTTTTATGGAGATCCTTGGGAATCATTGACAGAGCTTTAGAGTTCATGCTCTGTGCATTGCTCTCAGCAGGTGGCTATCCTTGTCTATGAAAAATGACTGAGCCATATGGGATAAAACTTGGTGCAATGAAGTTCATCCTCTTGACTTTGAACTTTAACCTTTTTTTTATGGAATACCAAATCAAAATATCTACAAAACCATAGAAATATAGCAATATTCCACTAAGTTTTCTGAAAAAATCAGCAAACATCTGAAATATCTTGACATCAAAGTTTTTGTAATTTTTTTTTTAAAAATAATAAGATCACCAACTCTATCAGTGTCAGTAAAAATGGAAGTATTTGTACAAGGTATTTCAGGTCATGTTGCCAATAAATACACATGATAGCTACTTTAAAAACTTCTAAATTGAAAAGTAGAAATAACAAGTCTAGAAATCTTGGTTTTCTTAATGCTTACCTGATATACAGACAGGAAGCAGTGAGCAATAAAAAATGACAAAACCGAGACTAGGAGAACAGGAATGGCATAAAAATGAAGTTCTTCTTGACTCTGAAATAGAGAAAACATGAAATTACTCAACATTTTATAATTACTGCAAACAACTGGTGAATAAGGTTTGTCTCTTTAATCATGTATGTGGTCAAGGTAATGTAGTGACTAAAATGCTTGCCTGCTGACTCAAAAGTTTTTAGTTTTGAACACAAAACAAAGCAACTTGAATAATTTACTAGGGCTTCAAGGTAGACTTATTCTGAAACAGGTAACAGGAAATATCTATAAAGTCAAAGAAGCCAGAGTATCTCAAAGACAGACTGGGGGATAGGACTATGGACACGGTGACAATCTAAACATACTCACAAATTGGAGAATAGGACCAAAGAATTTGTGAGAACCTAAACATACTCATAGATTTGAGGGTAGGACTACACAAATGGTCACAACCTAAAGATACTCATAGATTGGAGGACAGGACTATGAACATGGTGACAACCTAAAGATACTCATAGATAGGAGGATTGGACTATGAACATGGTGACAACCTAAAGATACTCATAGATTGGAGGAAAGGACTATGAACATGGTGACAATCTAAAGATACTCATAGATTGCAGGAAAGGACTATAGAAATGGTGACAACCTAAAGATACTCATAGATTGGAGGATAGGACTATAGAAATGGTGACAACCTAAAGATAATCATAGATTGGATGATAGGACTATGAACATGGTGACAACCTAAAGATACTCATAGATTGGAGGATAGGACTATAGAAATGGTGACAACCTAAAGATAATCATAGATTGGAAGACATGACTATAGAAATGGTGACAACCTAAAGATACTCATAGATTTGAGGATATGACTGTAAAAATGTGACAACCTAAAGATACTCATAGAGTGGAGAATAAGACTATAGAAATGGTGAGAACCTAAAGATATTCATGGATTTGAGGATAAAACTATGGACATGGTGACAATCTAAAGATACTTATTGACTGGAGGATAGGACTAAGAAATGTTAATAATCTAAAGCTAGACTGGAGTATGTGACTTTAGAAATGGTGAAAATCTAAAAACATGATGAGGGTTGTTATAATAAAATTCTCTGCAGTATGTGTTACAGTTAAAAAAAAATTATATCCAATTTTTTCAGTCATGCAACACAAATAACATGGGTAACAAGGCATATAATTCTAACTAGTTTATTTCTTATTTTAAGTCTCTGATTTTTTAAACTTAATTATCAGGTCACCCTTCATCACCTGCAGCTCCAACGTCAGGATATAGACACTGAAGATATCAGTCCTGTATTGGTTTACTAATGAGTTATGAGTTATGAGTTATGAGTTAGATTATCTTCACAGCACTCCGGAAACATCCATAGGCGCTCAGATTCCCCTCTCAACATATTAATCAGCGTTGCATGGTTAATACTGCCAGTCCTATGTTGGTTAACAAGACTTTGTGTGGGTCCAGTGTGCTTCTCATGTTTGGCTGTGCCAATCTTTACTCCCAATTCTCATATGGTTTACTATTCTTTTCTGGCTTACATCATTTCTTTCTTGTCTGGCATTTTTAAGTGAAGTTTTTTGCAGTCTAGTCACTGTTGTATATTTATAGTCTTTAGCAATTTAATCTTAAAGCTTACTTATAACTACACTAGTGTAGTTTTTATAGTCCAGTAATATCTTTGTCACACACTTCTAAAGTAGCATGATGGGAAATAGTATAGATACATAGGTAAAAACAGTATCCAGTAAGAAGTAAATTTTTTTTAATTTACTTATTTTTTCCTGACAAACTCACCTTAAACCAGAACACACTAACAGCTGTGGTGGCAGCCATGATAGATATTTTGCCCAGAAACAGAACAAAATCAGCTGTACTATCTACTGCGGCCATTCGTAATGCATTTCCAGCAAGTAAGTGGTGTCCCTGAGAATATAAAATGTTGTCACTTAGTCCAGAGACAATCAGGAAGGAACAATCAATGGAACAAATTTTAGAATAATTAAAAACTTTGTCCAGTTCACATTTCCCGTCTCATCTACACACTGGCTGACCTTTCTTTCATACTTTCTCAGACTTTTCTACGTCGGAAGGGTGTCACGTTGTCTTGCCTCCAATTATATCAGCAAAAATGTTGCATGTTCTACACTATACAATAACACAGCTTTCAGAACATCTAGAACGAGCCCTAACCCAAACCCCCCTACCTACAGCCTGAGCCTAGGTCACACAATAGACTCTTTTCTAAGAAAGCAGTATAACTTGACATCCTTCTGACCTAGATCAGACTGAGAATGTGTGTAGATGGGCTAGGAAACGTGAACAGGTCCAAAAACATAAAAGAAAAGTAAGTAAATGGACCATCTCACACCAGTGGCATATCGGGCATAAGATGGTAGTCTCATATTTTTGTTGATCAACTGGCACTTAATGAGTGATGAGGTCAACTTCAAGCTTCACTTTCCAGGACTTTACCTGGTACTCATTTTAGGCCAGGTTGTCTGGCAGCCTAGATAATGCAGATTAAAACCCAAGGCTTTAGCTTGGCAGGTGAATGTTAGCTGCTATTCCACCATGGATCCTTTTATAATCATAATTTGTGTTTGAAAAACTGTATATTGTTTTAGAGGATTTTGGAAATAAATCTGGTCAAGCTGTGTAAAGTATTGACATTACTCTGTTTCTCTCTTTTATTCTCTTTATTTCTCAGGTTTTCTTCATTACTTTCCATATGTGTAAAACTGCATATCTTTTGATTACAAAAGACAATAATTTGGTTAAAGTTTACGATGTCATTTTTGTTGATTGCATGTTCTAGTTTTAAACATTATACAATACACAAACTCACCTTTCTGGCTGATGTGCAGAAGTTTTTACCATTAATTGCTGGAGAAGAAAAAGAAAAAGAAAAAACTTAAATTTAAATTGTAAACGTTCTGGATGTTCATCCACTTCTTGACTCTAGTCTTGTTCCAGAACCTGAGTGTTACATGTACATCAATTTTACAGAACTGGCTTATTTTGTATGCAGACTATTGGTTCTTTGCCACATAGGAAGATGCACTCTGACTTCAAAGGAAGCCTTCAATTAGTCACTCTACGACATTCTTGTTGGGGAGTTAGTATCTATTTTGGTTTTCCCTACAATGGGACCATAAAATCCACACGTGCAGGCAGTGGGTCTATTCTGGTTATTCCCACAATAGGGCCCTGGAACCCACACAAGGTTGTATGGAAATAAATCCTAGACACTCAACTGATTAGTGAGAAATGATGTCCCGATATAAAGTTTTACAGAAAAATTAAGAGAATGTCAAGGACAGATAAAATATGCTGCTATCCAGATAAAATATGATGATTTCCTGGATGAGAGTATATCTTGGTAACAGGATATAGTGAAGGATGGCAAGGTAGTGGATAACAAGAGAAGAAGATATTATTTGCTTTGGCATTAGTGCAATAAGGAACATCATGATCAACTATGATTGGCAATCTTCTTCTTTCTCTCCTTCTTTAGTCTTGTTCTGCCTTTCAGAATCAGGCTTTGAAGAGACATCAGATGTGAGCCTAGGGTCAGGTTTAGATGATGGATCAACATCATGGCACAAGGGTAGTACCCCATAAGTGCTTCATTCTATTTCTAACTCAAGTCTGTGTCCGAAGAATCTCAGCGCAGTGCAGGAACTCGGTAACACTGATGAGGATCCTGAAATACTTTGGGTAGATTTTAAACTCCAAATTTTGCCCGGGTAGCAAAGTTAGGCTGCTGTTTTTCTTTTTTCAACTGCCAAAGGGATTTCTTTACGTGCTCAACAATACACATAGGCGTCCGATCTTATTACACAGAGAGCAAGGGCAACTACTAGAAGTCTAGGTGACTTTAACAGGGGCTTGAACACGGGACCTTCAGCATTCGAGGCGGACCTAGGTATGTGCTACGTAGATACTGGTATTTACAGCTTGTGTGGTCGACCTTCAACTCTGCTTCCATTATGTCTAGGTAACAGGGCTCTCTGCGGTGCACTGTCTGGTGGTAGACTTGACACATGTCTGAACCATTTGATTTGTTGTCTCTTCCAAAAGTATCAGTCAGATTTCTCTTCTGATTGTTTATTCAAGCAAGATTTAATCTGCTACCAGCTTGCCGAGCCTGTTTAAATGGCCATGGACTGACATCATAACCAACATCACATGGCATGAAGAAACAAGCGAAAGACAATTTATTCTTACCTACTACTGTGTATGCATTAGATGAGAGATTTCTGAGGCACTTGTCAATACAACACAAACAGCAGCAGCAACATCGAACACAAAAACTTGCACAGTCACTTTCAGAGTCCTTCATTCTGCAAAACAAACAAAAATGCAAATGTAATGGAAGATGCATACATTCTTTTTTTTTTAATGACAATAATAATATCTGTCCTGGCAATCATTATGCAAATCCCCCCCCCCCCCCCCCAACTTTTTAATCTTGAATGCCTCATTAAATTCAATTAGTTTATTTCTTAAAGAACATTAGACTGCAATATGTTTGCTCCAGGACTGTTTTGAATAATTATGTCATCAGTTATAGTTCAAGTCTGAAGGCGGTTATTTTCATCATTTCTTTTAAAGTTATGCAGTAGTCATCATTTCAAAAGGATATTAAAAAAGTATAAATAAGCAGATAAAATAAAAAAGTGTTTGAAAGTTAAATATAACTAGCTGTACCCGGCCACGCGTTGCTGTGGCAATAATTACTGGTTACTCAAGACATCAATTTCTAGCTCTTTAGCTTTGAAAGTTCAATTATCTTGAAACAAAAATTATTGAACTTTTATCTAATATAACCGGTATGATCGCACACTTTCTTCAGTTATTTATCATCTTGTTCTTTCTTATAATTTCACTATGCATTGACAAAATAATTGTCTTCAAGTTGGTCCTAAACTAATACAATTTAAACATATTATCTCCTCACTTATTTATGTTAGTAGTTGTAGTAAGGTTATATAATATTAGTGATCTTTTTAGACATACTTTATTAAAAGAAACTGAGTTGCTTTATTATCCACTAGTCAGTAACTATTTTCCAACAGTACTACAAAGTAACAAATGCTGACAACAATGGTCCTGAAATCCCATGCTATAATTGTGGAGGACTTTTCTTAACCCGGACGGAGCTTGCTAGTTACACTCGCTATCGCCATGGGCTGTGAGTTCATTGCCCCCTCAGAACTAAATATAACATTATCCTCTGGAAAGACGGAAAGTTGCCAGTTAAAACAAAGTAAGAAAAAGGAAAACTTAAAACAAGGAAAATAAAAATAACAAAATACAGGTATTTTCTATATCTACTTTTTATACTGTCAGTGCTAATCAATAGACATTAATTTTTGTTATCGTATAGGTTACAACAACAAATATCATCGACAAACGAAGCAAGTGTCCATTATTCTTACCTTTTGCTAATAAATATAAGAATTGCCCTTGGGATTTTAACTAGCGTTAGGATGATAGATCCAAAGGCAACAGAACCCTGGTGAAATACAATCAATCTTCCTATTGTACCCAAGATAGGGAAACCAATATGGCTCTTGTCTCTGAAAACAACAAAAGAACCAGCTTGTTAATTTTCATACTAAAATGTCCACAAAAGTAAATACAATATAAGAATTACTTTTTTGATATTATAGTACAGCTACAAGAGAAAAAGAATAAGAAATGACTTAAAATATTAATTAATGTAAAAAAAATGAACATATTTATTTTAAATTCTAGCATGGCTTCAACAAAAACAAACAAAAGAAATACTTCTTTCAGTTTCATATTAAAACAGCAACAAAATAAATGAAATATCGTCATCTTATTTTTTAGTCACCCTTAAAAGAGCTGTTGGTATGTTGTGGATTACAGCTAGTCTTGGTATCTGCACCTTTTGACCCAACATATCTAATTAAAGCAAACCCTTAATTATTGCCTTTTACAACATGCTTGTTGATGAGCAGTAGCTCTTTCTCTCCCCCCCCCTCCCTCCCCCTTTTTCCCCACGCCCCCACCCCCAACATTAAAAACACTTGGAAACTGAAACCCACATGGAAGATGCAATATAAGAACATATTTATTTACTATACTAGGATAACTAACCTATAGCAAAAAAAAGCTGTGAAAGACCTGTTCGTTTAATACCAAATTACTGTCTTTTCTCCCCTCTTACCTTGTGAAGTACCAGCGAGCTACAGCCCCGGATATAACAAAAGACTGACAGGCAATGATAAATTCACAGATCCAGAATAATCCAACCAGATGGTACCACCAAAAGTAAGTCACTGTCTCGTGTTCCTTAAACACAACAAACCCAACTTCTGTCACGCTTGGAGTTTCTGGAAAATATAAAACAAAAGCTAATGAGTTTTAATTTTTAAACGTTAATAACAAATTAACCTACTACTTTTGTCTTTAGAATGTCTATGAAGGCTCTCTGCTGGCCCTAATCTTTATTCTGTGATAGTAAAGCACCTTGTTTACTGACATGGATGATTAGGCTTGACCATGTTTTGTGATCACCAACATGCATCAGCGCTTTTATATTTCATGCCATTTCAAATATATGTCAAGAAAATTTTCTTGCTGTCTTCACCGCTGTCTTTTTTTCTTCGTTCCATAACCTTTCCGGTTGTCACAGAGTTATCTTCACTAAAAAAATTCCAGAAACAGTTGAGAATCAAAACGGGACCAGCTTTGGTAGACAAACAAGCTATAACTAGGTTATAGCAACTTATTCATCATCATCATCATCATCAGCAGCAGCAGCAGCAGTAGGAGGAGGAAGAGTAGTAGTAGTAGAAGGAGGAGGAGTAGTAGTAGTAGTTGTATTAGTAGTAGAATGAGCAGCAGCAGCAGCAGCAGTATTAGAAGTAATAAAACAATGATATCCTGTTTAACCCTTCTGGATTGTAATATATAAAGTTTTTATATATTTTGATTTTAGAGAATATGCTTGTCAGTTACTTGGGGTTATTGAATATTGCACACATTTTTTTCTTCTTCTTTTTCTGTGTTGATCAGAAGATGTAATTACTTTGTGCCCGTTTACAACAAGGCTATGATATCTGCGCCTTTCAGCCGATACATCCAACTTTTGCAGACATTTGTTGACCAGGTTAACCTTCCCCGGCATGGATTAATTGTAACACATTGAAGGAGCAGAGACTGTTAAGTTAAATATATTTCAACTGTCCTTTCAAAACAGTAATGATGATCTCATTCTTTAATCCATCTTTGGAAATATTGAAAGTTGTCTGGGATACCATTATCCTGTCTTACAACATATTATTGCCTCATATGCAAACTTTTGTTCTTTTCTCTAGTTCTCTAGAGCTATCTAGTTCTCTAGAGCTATCTAGTTCTCTAGAGCTATCTAGTTCTCTAGAGCTATCTAGTTCTCTAGAGCTTTCTAGTTCTAAAGAGCTATCTAGTTCTCTAGAGCTATCTAGTTCTCTAGAGCTATCAAGTTCTCTAGAGCTATCTAGTTCTAAAGAGCTATCTAGTTCTCTAGAGCTATCTAGTTCTCTAGAGCTATCTAGTTCTCTAGAGCTATCAAGTTCTCTAGAGCTATCTAGTTCTCTAGAGCTATCTAGTTCTCTAGAGCTATCTAGTTCTCTAGAGCTATCTAGTTCTCTAGAGCTATCAAGTTCTCTAGAGCTATCTAGTTCTCTAGAGCTGTCTAGTTCTCTAGAGCTATCAAGTTCTCTAGAGCTATCTAGTTCTAAAGAGCTATCTAGTTCTAAAGAGCTATCTAGTTCTAAAGAGCTATCTAGTTCTAAAGAGCTATCTAGTTCTCTAGAGCTATCTAGTTCTCTAGAGCTATCAAGTTCTCTAGAGCTATCTAGTTCTCTAGAGCTATCTAGTTCTCTAGAGCTATCAAGTTCTCTAGAGCTATCTAGTTCTAAAGAGCTATCTAGTTCTAAAGAGCTATCTAGTTCTCTAGAGCTAACTAGTTCTCTAGAGCTATCTAGTTCTCTAGAGCTATCTATCCCTACTGTGATAAGCTTAATGCAGCTTTTCCAGTTACAATTTTATCAAAAGTAAAAGCGACTACTGGATACATTTTTAAGATGCTGACCTGCTGTACACAAAAAAGCCAGCACAGTCACCCAGTAAACAAAGAACATGAGCAGAAGGATGAATGTCCACAGTGGTTGAATCAGTAGCATGGGCATCGCTGACACACAAGCTCCAGCCTCACGCAGAAGGAACACTGCCAAAGCAATCCGTTTTCTTAGTGCTAGCACTACCAGTAGCAGAATTACCTGAAGACAAAACATTTATTTTATTCAACTGTATATAATGTAAAATGTACATTCTGAATGTCATTTAAAATAGTCCACTAAGAATTAAACCTAATTAAAAATAATAATTTATTACTCATGCAATCAAATATTTTTTTGATAATTTAAGAATATCAATGAAAAAACAGTGCACACAATTAATTTGATAGTTACTTTTTGAAAATCTGTTCAGAAAAGTACAATGAAATTATTAATACATTTCTACAAATATTTAACCATGAAGTTCTTTATTATTTACAAGTCTAGCTTTACCCTTAGGTATGGGACTGAAGTCTATTGGCAATGAATGTTTTAAACCCATGAGGATAATATTAGGCCAAACCTAGGCCAAATCCCAACGAATTGATGACAATTTACATTTTAAGATGATTACATTCTAATATAACTTTCAGCAGATGTGAGGGCAAGCTACAACTCTTCCCCAACTACCAAGTTTCTGGACTTGAAGAGGGAAAGGAAACACATGGAGATGGTACTTTGATACTGTGCTGGGTGGAAGTAACCAACCTCACTTTTATAGATTAACTTTTCAGTTTTAGATTATGTGAATGTTACATATAAGAAAACAAAAACAGTTGCATTAGACTAAACTCACTGTCTTCCAGAAAATTCCCAGCCAAATGTAGTTTAAAAAAAAAAAACAATTTCCAAGAGTTTAATTCTTTCTTATATAAAAAAAGCTTGTACTAACTGTGAGTCCAGTCGCTGAGGCAGAAAAGGCCATGAATGCGTACTCGCTGTTGATGTCCACCTCCAGAAGTGGAATGTTCATCTGCTCCTCCCTATCTAGCTTGTTCTTGTAGGAGATGAATGTCCACCACAAGAAAGCTGTGGCAACTGTACAGAAATAAATAAATAAAAGAAAACATGTAAACTTACAGTCTACTGTCTTTGATAAGTTATACATTTTACTTTCTTTTCCTAGCGTGCACTTATCTTAAATATTACAGAACTTCTAATTTCTGCTTGTTGAATTATGAAATTATCTATTATGCATATACTTTACAATACTCAAAATTTTACTGTCTCCTATACCAAACAAATAACTATCATATCATCTCATTCCAAAAGTGAGTAAAAAGGATTTCATAATGCAAGCATCAGCAATCAAGAATCCTGAATTGCTCCCTATCCTCAGCAACAGGTATAAATGTGGAATCAGTGAATCCTGTTCAATCTTTATCAGTCCCAGGTTCTCTTGGCCTTCCTTTTCTTTATTTGCACTTAACCTTTCCTTGAGGGTTACATTTGAAACAATGTTATGATATATGCTATGTCTTAACTGTTTCAGTCCCTGGGGGTTTAGTATCAGAAGCCCAATGCGTAGTAAAGAGAGATGTAAAATCAGTGCATCTTGCATTCATTAGGCTTTTAGGTTGGAATCTATGAAGGTATGACGCGTTAACAGAGTTAACATGCAAGCATTCATTGCAACAACAACAAAATAGTTCTTGATAGCATGTGTACATATTTTTTCCCACTAGCATAGGTATTTCGAACAACCCTGGTGTAGTGGCCAGACGCATGCATGAGGGCTGGAAGGTTGTGAGTTCAAATCCTCACTGACCCAAAATTTTTCAAAATAGACATTGGCTCTTATGTCAAGCCAGCTTAAAATAGGTACCCGGTAAGGTCCCGGGAAGTAAAGGTGGCGTTCAAGACAATGACTTGATCAGCCAGTTAGCAACAAATGGTCTATAAAATGAAAGTCTATCACTATTTACACAATAAGCCAAAGAGCATAGAAAGAGGCCCTTTCCCTTGTTTAGCACTGACATTTGTCTTTTTCTTATTATCAGGGAATTTAAGAGAGTGTTAAAATGTGACATAGAACCTGTTCTGCTGTATGGCAGTGAATCTTGGAATGTCAGTGAACAAATTAAGAGGAGTTAAGAAACAACAGAGATGTGGTTTCTGAGTTGAATACCTTGGGTGGCCAGAATAACTAGTAACGATTGTTTGAAAGAAGCTAAAGAAAGTAGATCTCTGTATACAACAACAGACAAACACTGTTCTTTGGCCACGTAATGAGAAGAGAGGCATTGGAAAACGTTGTGACAACTGGAAAGATCAGTGAAAAGAGGGGTAGGGGCAGACCAAAAGAGATGATGCTGGATGGGCTGATACGATGGCATGAAGAGATAACATCAAGAGAGCTGTTCCAGGCAACCAGAGATCGTGATCTGTGGAGATGCATGAGCGCCTATGATGCAGGGTACATGATGATGCTGATGGGATCTTACTGACATATTTGTGTTCAAAAGCAAATTACTACACACATATCAAAGCTACAACTAAGGTTGTCAATTTTCATGGGAAAATCAGGAGAAGCCGAGGTGTGTGCATGCATAAGCTGTAATTGGCACTTACATTTTCCATTACAAAAGACAAACAATTTATTTTACTATTTATTACCCATGCAAAGTGATCACACCTCACCACTTATAGTGAGTTGACTGGTAGTCTAGACACCTACAAGTATCTGGCTGTGGCCATTGCCTGTTATAAGTAAAGGACTCTTTTTCACCAGTGGTGCATCAGGCATCTGATGGAGAACTCATATTTTTATAGACTAAACAGCATTCATGTCGGCTCTGTGGCTAAGTCGATGCGAACGCTTCGTAATGCCGGGTTCGATCCCAGCTGTGGGTCATGCGCCTTGCATTGGTTTTGACAGTGGCACTAAGAAAGCCGACCGTTCAGAGAGCAATGGCAAACTACTGGACGTATATTTGCCTAGAAAAACCACACAACAGCCAGGGGCTGGTGGGGTTGGTTCTGCAACGTCCTGTAAAGGATACGCAACTAACCTAATCAGCATTCAGTAGGTGCTGTGTTTATCTTCCCAACAGCTACCTTTACAGGATAAGAGATGGTACCCATTTCAGGCTGGATCAACTTAGGAGCCAGGTCAATTAAAGAAATTTTAAAAATAACTGTAATGTGGATCTGAATCCAAGACTTTTGGGTCTGCACGTTGCTACCAAGGTTCCCCCCAAATTTAATGAGTTTCAGTTTATAGAGTTAGGTTAAACACTTACCCATGCTAGCTAGCACAGTAAACACTACTATCAGCCAAGTGACCACTGCAGCCATGAATCTGATTAGCAAGACCAGCAGAACTGAGAATGCTGGGAAAATACAAATACATACAAGTTATGTCAAGTAATGACATTTCATCATCGTCATGTAGAAGGTCTTTTGCAGAACATCGCTCTCATCACAGTCTGCCTGAAAGAAATTCGGTCTCTCGCCAGCTCTCCCACCTCATGTACTTTCATACTCAAGGAGTCACTTATATCCTGTGTGCATCTTCATGTCGGTCGGCCACTGTCCCACCTTCCTGGTACCATGCCTTCTGCTATAATTCTTTTCCATCTGTCGTAGCACTTGATAAGACCAAAATATTTCAGCTTCTGAGACAGGATGCTGTTTATTAGCCAATCTTCCTTGATGTTCAGATCTTTCAAGATGCCAAGGTGAGCATGGGAGCCTTGCTATATACTCGGGGGAGGGGTGTGGGGGGTGAAACCCAATGAACACTTTATATCCTAATTATAACCATGAGAGTTGAACATGATATTTTTGTGAATTACTTTTACAGAATCACTGTCAGGATTATGACAATTCAAAGTATAATCATCCTTTTTAATTTTATGTGTAAATTTAAATTTCTAATCAATGCACAAGATAAAGATATGTTCTTTTTTATTCCTAGGTAAAGAAAAGTATGTGTTTTTTAATCCGAAAAAAAATTATATATTATTTGATTCATTTTTCTTCATTTGGGCAGATCATATTAAAAAAGTTATGGCATCATAAGTGACCACTTTCAATATATTATTTTGTTTTTTCAAATAATACCCATTACGACTCTCATATCAGCACTACATCTGTTAAAATGTTTAGTACATACCTATAAACTAATCACTGATAGAAGTGTCAAATATTTACAGCTAGATGTTCAAATATTCAGGGCTAGGTCTTTCAGATAAAGAAAAACTAATTTAGCTGGCTCATATCGATCACAGCTGTGAAAAATCAATTCTGGAAAATCCTAATAAAGAAGCACAAGTCCCAAGATGCCACATAATTTTTTAAACCCGGGGAGAGAGTTCCCCCTGACCTTATACCCATCTGTAGCTCAAACTTGTAATCTTCCAACAGATGAACAGGGTCTGAAGGGTCTCATTTAGCCCCAAGATCTTCATCTTGAATCCAATGTTTGATATCCTCTTTACATTGTTTCCTGCTGATTTTGAAGAAGGCTTCAAGTTTTTAACCCTGCCAAGAATCTGGGGCTCAAACTAATGGAAACATGGCTTGTGAGATTCCAGGTTTTTTAAATGAAATTTTTATTTTAAATAAAATACAGAAATGGGGGGCAATGGGCTCTTTTTAAAAAGTATTTTCATTTGACGGATTATTATAATCATTAAATTAAACTGTAGTACAGATGCATATAATGGTAAACAGAAATCTAATTTGTGTGTTTCTACAGTTGAAAAAAAATTACAAAAGTATAATTAACTGAAAGAAACAAAATGCTTTCAGAGGTAAATAATTTAGGAAAAACTGTAATTCTAAAAATATGAGACAACATCAGTTACATCTAGCATAGTATATAAACATTTGACAGAAATGAAATGTTTACGTACTATGCTAGGTGTAACGAGGAAAGATCAATTTAGGAACAATGATATAAGGAGGAGAGTCAGCATAGAACCAATACTGAACTTTATAGGTGGACACAAATCAAATGGTGTGACCATGTAACAAGATTGGCATCAGACAGGGCACTATGGATAGCAATGTTATATGGAGACAATAGTAACAGGGAACTACGGATAGCAATGTTATATGGAGACAATAGCAACAGGGAACCATGGATAGCAATGTTATATGGAGACAATAGTAACAGGAAACCATGGACAGCAATTTTATATGGAGACAATAGCAACAGGGAACCATGGATAGCAATGTTATATGGATACAATAGTAACAGGAAACCATGGATAGCAATGTTATATGGATACAATAGTAACAGGAAACCATGGATAGCAATGTTATATGGAGACAATAGTAACAGGGAACCACGGATAGCAATGTTATATGGAGACAATAGTAACAGGGAACCATGGATAGCAATGTTATATGGAGACAATAGTAACAGGGAACCACGGATAGCAATGTTATATGGAGACAATAGTAACAGGGAACCATGGATAGCAATGTTATATGGAGACAATAGTAACAGGGAACCATGGATAGCAATGTTATATGGAGACAATAGTAACAGGGAACCACGGATAGCAATGTTATATGGATACAACAGTAGCAGATCCAGAGGTTGACCACACAGAACATGGACTACAGAAATATCAGAGACACACCGAACAGTACTTTATACAAAGTGAACAAAAGGCTCCTTCCAGAGATCTCCTCCAGTTCTGACACTGTGAGGCATTCCAGGAGTACAGGAAAGAAGAAGGAGAAGAAGAAGCAAGGCCACACCCACACAGGAATTTCTGACATCTACATGAATGACTAGACAATAAGACAAAAGTTTCTGAATTAATTTAGTCCTGATTTTTTCCCCATACATTTATGTACAGTCTGAACAAGCATGACTAAAATTATAATCTTAATTCTAACTGTTAACACAATCTTCAGATGTAAAACTTGAACATCAGAAAACTTGAACTATGGAAAACTTGAACTTTATAAAGCGTCTAAGCTACTACTTTAAGACTGGCTGAATAAATATAAACTCCAAGCAAGAAATCAATAAAAGAAAACACGAATAAAATAAGTGAACATTAAATTTCATTTTAATTTCATGTGTGTAGTTAAGAATGCTTATTTTATTCACTGAAAAAAACATTTTTTGAAACAATCAGATTTGATCGTCTTGTCTTTTTTCTCCATGTTTAATTGTGTGTTTATTGAATCATTCTTTTAATCAACTCAACAGTACTTATACTGTCTCACCACCACTTTTGCTATCAACAGGCAGGCATGTCATCTCGACAGCTCTGCATAACAATTTTGATTTCACTTAATACAAATATTCCAGAATCGTAGCAGAAAGAATAGCTAAAATTTTTTACCACAAAGAAATATCTCCATATGTGAGCATATGAGACATGTAAGCAAAGAGATCCTTAAAAATGTCCCGGCAGTGGTAACATTAGGGAGGGGGTGGTGGGGGAGGGTTGGAGAGGGTATGGTCTCCATATTGAAGTGGTCATATCATTTGTGTCTTGCTCTGAAGGTCACGGGTTCGTTTCACCAACACATTATTAGGTTCACATGTGCAGTTTTTATTTATCGAGATACCTAGGGATCGGTGTGGAACTGCAGAGTTCATGCTTTCTCGTACTATAACTCAGTACCATTACGTCGATCCTCTCGATATTAACTGACTTTATTACTTAAAGAAGATAAGTTAATCAAAATGAGCAATATATGACTGAAAGTGACAACAAAATGATGAGGATAATAAGCGGGGGAAAAAAAAAAAAAGACAAATAGGGATAATTTACATTGTACTCACCAACAGCCAAAAAACAGAGGGCAATGACGATATTCCAGCTTGCGTAGAGATCTCTCAGAGCCTTGTTGAAAATGTTGCTCTTGTTTATGTGGGCTATGATATTGTTGGCAACATTTGATTTGAGCCAGTCTTTGATTTGAATCAGTTCACGAGGAATGCAGCGGTTGAGCAATGACTCACTAGAAGAAACAAATATGACTGTAGTGACATCAGTTGTGTAGCATTTTAAAACATTATGGGTTCAGTTGGTCAATTAGTGGCTACACAGCAGGGCTTTTTTTTTTTTTTTTTTCTAGCAGTATGCAATGGTTTCCAGTATCAGCACTTTTCCCTAGGTATAATTAATTTCAGCACTTCTGTTTAAGACACTTTAGGGTGAGTACCGGCACCTTTTAGACACTGTGGTGAGAACTGCCACCTTTTTAAACTCTCTGTGGTGTGTACTGGCCCCTTTTTCCACACTTTGTGAAGAGTTGAGTTACAGTGACTAACATAGACATATATTTTGTGTTTTATGACAATTTAGCAAGTTTTAGTTTTTAATCTACAAGATTGTTATTCTTTGGTAAACCGAGAAATTATGTTTGATAAACTGAGAAATGGTGTATATTTGATAAGGTGTATGTTTTGTAATCTGTGAAACTGTAGATGTTTGGTAATGTCCAAAAAATTTACTGTTGGATAAACAGAGAATTATATATCTTTGATGAACTTTGAATTCGCATTCATTAGGTAGACTCAGAAATTATTATATATATATGTATATATGTATATATGTATATATATCATCATCAGGTGCCTTGCCGACTGGCGTCGGCGATCATGCCTCTCCATATTCTGCGATCTCCTGCAGCATGTATCAGTTTGTGTGCCGACACACCTCCATGCCATGCAACAAGACTGTCAAGCATCTTCTCTCGTTGTCTACCTCTATCTCTCCTTCCACATATCTTTCCAGTGGTCACAACATGTTCTATTTTCCCTCTTCTCATAACATGGCCGAAAAATGATGACTGTCTCCTTCTGATGTCTGTGATAAGTTGTCTTTGGGCTCCCGCCTCTTTCAAAACCTCTTGGTTGCTCTTTTTGGCTGTCCAAGGTATTCTAAGCATTCTTCTGTAAAACCACATCTCTGAGGCCTCCAGGAATTGTTTGGCCTGCCTACCTATTCCTGGAGGAATATATATATAAATAATGTAAGATAGGCAATGTAGATGAGTTAGAAGTTAAAATATGGAGAAAAAAAGTGGCAATGACTAAAAGCAGACATAACAGGAAAGCAAAAGACAATGTAGCAGGTATATAATATACCAATATATGTATGACAGACAAAGGTCTAAGATTACCTTTTGTACACTGGCAGGACAGGACATGGTCCCAGGCTGGTGCGGTTTGTGTAATCATAGTCTCCTAGATTAACATCATAGCGGCACAGGAGGGACCCTGTCTGCTGGGAGAAGTCAAACAGGGCTCTTGGCGTTACGAGATCATTCTCTGGACATTTATTAACACAAATCCTCATAGACGTGTCCATCTCCTCTATGTTCATGTAGAAAAGGTACCTGAAGATAGAAGGGAGAGCTTTGAAACATTGGTTCGAACATTATTGAGGATGAACAGTTAATGCACAAAGTAAGAAGTTATGACTTTCATAAAAAGTAGTGCTTTTATTTTCTAGCTGTATACAACAGCATGCAGTACTGGTAATTTTTTTTAAAGGTATCTTCCTGGGGGAAGGGGGGGGGGGGGGGTGTCCTCCTATAATAGACTATTTTGGGTGAATGATGGCCCCTGTTTACAGACACTGTGTAGTGAGTACCAGCCCCTTTTTACATTTTCTAAAGAAAAAAGCCTTAATAAGGAGGAAATTAAAATGGGGATTACTACTTCTAAGTTAGCAGGAGTCTGTAAAGGATTATTTTCATACCACTGGCACATCAGGCATTTGGTGCCAGAACCATTTCTGTACAGACCAATCAGCATTCGATGGTCAGCTACAAGCCTCAGTCGATTTTACTTTCTATAACATTATCCAGTTCCCATTTTTGACTGCAATGACCTGGGAGCACTTGGTCAATTGTAAAATTCTCCCATCAGATTTAAACTCAGTGACTTCAGGTTATAATTTGGAACCCATAATGGCCTTAACAGCCTGATGTTACCTGCAGTCCTATGTAGATAAAGATAATGCGTTGCTCTATATAAATTCCCATCAATTCTTTAAAGAATGGAGGCCACTGTCTATGCCAGTATTTCAGATAATTCATGGCAGATATTGGTTTATCTGAACAAAGAAGCCACAAACAAAAGATTGCACAGTTTATTGTCAGTAGTAGTGGTAGTACTTTTACCCCACCAGGACACCACACAAGCGATAGATCCCTAGTTATCGCTGCCGGAGCTAGGGAGTTTGTTCTCTGTGCGGTACTCTTGGCAGACAGTTAGCCATTCTGTGTTGAGAGACCAAGGCATATGGGATACAGCCTGGTGCAATGAAGTCAATCCTTTCAAATTTAACTCCAACTTTAACCTTTGGATTTTAAGGACTTTACTAAGTATTCATTTTGAGCTGGGTCGACCTGGGAGCTAAGATAATTTAAAAAACAAATCAAGAATTAGACTTAATGCAGGTTCAAACCTAAGACCTTCGCTACACTACCAAGGCTGTCAGTGACAAATGTGATAATGAATAATTTAGCTTGACTGGCAAAAAAACCACTCACTGGCGCCCTTTAAGATTCCGGCCTGAGTTTCTTACGCCAGCAATAGCCCGATCCGTGTTGTCTTCATCGCAAGTGTTACCGAAACTGTCTGTTCCATAAACCAGACGAAAAGGGTCTCCCTTAGTGACGGAAAATGCTGCAATAAAGATCTGAAAGAAAAAAGGCCAAAGAATTAATGTAGTTAACAAAATAATACATTAAAAAAAAAAACCACAAATAGGAAATCCATGTCCAAATGTATATTTATTTTTGTCCTCTCGTGTGTATCATGGTGATTTTACCATCAATGAAACTTAAGGAATCATATCCTGGATGGAATCTAACAGGACATATCCTAGATATACCCCGTTCAAACTCCAGGATTGTTATAATTAGGCCACCCATGACGACCATACTAAACTGGTCAGTCTGAATGAAGGTTGTGTGCGTAGAGAGGTCACATATTATTTTTTGAATAATCATTATTGTTCTATGCTGTTCTAATTCCAATTGGTTTGTCAAGGTCTTTTAACTTTTCAATTCCAACCAAAGCAGTCTTTTCCAATGAATCCCAACCCATTCTTAATTTTATTTATTTATTTCTAGGTTTGGTCAGGGAATAAGATAAAATCTGGCCCTCCCCAGTGGCCACTTCCACTGGTCTCAATAAAAGTAAAGCACTCGTATTTAAAAAAAAAAAAAAAAATCTAATTGTTATGTCTCTCTTTGTGTATCTGTTGCACAGCCATCTGGAACTGAAAAAATAAAGAATTAAATAGATGCACCAACTCAGTGCCTGTGATGGGCTAGTGCAGTGTCATTAGTCTTAAAACATTCCATTAAACAGACCCCCAGAGACACCTCCATTTCATTGTAGTTTCATGAATCCAGTCTGGGAACTGAAACTGTGTATTCTAGTATGTCCATCGTAAAATCCCTACTGGGCATAATTTACAACAAAATATATATATCTAAACAGGCATCATTTTCTGAATAACCCACTTAGGTCATCTGACCTATTGCCCTGAGCTGTTAAGCCACTATTCAAATCTACCCGTTACATAAATAAATAATACCAGACAGAATCAATGTAAGAAAAGTATTCTAAAAATCGAATATTAAATTAAGTATCAGTGTTTTTATGTTAGGAATAAAGCCGGTCATACGGGTCATCAAAGAACAACAAATCAAATGGTTTGGACACCTAACAAGAATGCCCTGGTACTATCTGCCACAGCGAGCCACACTAAAAAGTTACAACGGGTATAGAGCGAGTGCAAGACCCAGGAAAAAAGTGTTAATAGTGCTCTTGACAGATCTCATCAACGAATATTACATCTCCTCCCCCCCCCCCCGACACTTCAATGAGGTACAAGGAAGAAGAAGAAGAAGAAGAAGAAGAAGAAGAGAAGAAGAAGAAGAAGAAGAAGAAGAAGAAGAAGAAGAAGAAGAAGAAGAAGAAGAAGAAGAAGAAGAAAATCAGTGTTTTTAATATGTAACAGTAAGAAGGAAGAAGAAGGAAGGAAGAAGAAGAATAAAGAAAGAAGAAGAAGAAGAAGAAGGAGAAGAAGAAGAAGAAGAAGAAGAAAGAAGAAGAAGAAAGAAGAAGAAGAAGAAAGAAGAAGCAGAGCAGAAGGAAGAAGAAGAAGAAGAAGAAGAAGAAGGAGAAGAAGAGTAACCTTTATGAAGAAGAAGGAAAGGTCTTACATAAAATATAAAGACAATAATAATGTAAGAAGCTAGTGGGAGGCCAGTCAATGCCAAGACACAGAAGCTACTAAGCCTATGTGTTAACGTACCGAGAGTCAACGTTACTGACATAAACTGATATGTGGTATTTCAGTTTTCTAGTTGTGTTCTTACATCTATCCATTTATGAAAAACGAAAAAAAAAAAATCGACCACTTTTACTGCAAGCAGTTAGGTTAGTTGCATATCCTTTACAGGACGTTGCAGAACCAACCCCACAATTATTTTCAGCCCCTGGCTGTTGTATGGTTTTTCTATGCAAATTTACGTCTAGTAGTTTGTCATTGCTTTCTGGACGGTAGTCTTTCTCTTGATTCCACTGTCGAAACCAACGCAAGGCGCATGGCCCGCAGCTGGGATCGAACACGGCATCCCGGCATTACGAAGCGTTCGCATCGACTTAGCCACAGAGCTGACACTGCAAGCAGTAACGGCAATAATTGTGGTCTGGTTTCTTCGTGCTATTTATATTGGTGATTACACCTAACTAGTGGCTGGACGTGTACCCAGTGAGCGTTGCTGGGGAGGGAGCCCGTATGCACTATACACACCCACACATACATACATATTGACATACATTACAGTTACATATATATAAACATAAATGTGTTCTTCGTTCCCCTTATTTTTGTTTTGTTTAACAAAAACTTGGCCAAAACGATCGCTTGTATCTGTGTCTTAATTTCTACCCAGCGTCCTAGTTCTCTGCGTTCATTCATCTTTGTTACTACGCATGCCAGATTTCCGTCACATCACTGAGTTCTATTAAATTATTCAACATGATACAATGTAATAATTACTTCGAGAAATTGTCAGACACATAAATCTAGCCTTAAACCGAGCAGCAAACTTCCAGCAAAGGGCCCTACTGAGGTGGAATAATCAAGTTATTTAAATTAAAAATAAAAAAGAAAGCGGTGCGCAGGAATATTTTACCGGAGTACCAAATTATCAATAATTAAATTGCACTGGCTAAACCCTGCCGAGATTTGCAGGTAAGGGGGTGTAGTAGGGTTAGCACTAATCAACAGCCCCGCCTAATTCAAGCAATGAGCACGAATCTGGGGCCATCATGCTGAGGCATCGTTAAGTGTAGATCAACTCATTTTATTTGCAAATATCTGCAGCGAAAATCAATGTTTGTGACAGTAATTTTATGGAAAATATCATCATGCAGAATTTGGTTGATTGATTGAAAATGTAATCTCATTGTGCATGCAAACGATAATGAAACCTATTCAATCCAAACAATCGCAACCTTATCGGCGGCAGCTCCACAGGTTATTGAGCTCGTAGCACACCGACTGCAGATAATGTTTGTTAACTGTGACATACAGAAAAATCGTTTTACGTGTTGCAACATTTTTTTTTTAAAGCCGGGATCTGGACAAGTCAACAAGCCACCGCAAACTCATTTTATGTTAACCTCAAGAGCGATAACTGTTCAAATAGACAAGTCCGTTAACTCGCAGATAACGGTTCGCGTTAGGCTCCAGTTTAACCAAGGCATTAGTTAGCCGATTTTAAAAATTATGGTTGCCCATGATTCAATCTGCGCAGGATCACAGTCGATCTTGTTTGTTTGACAAACTGGTAATATTTTACCACAAATCGAGGTTTGATGTGGACTTTCACAGGCTTTGGTTGTTTAACTCATCTGACAAGTCTGTGATGTTAACAAAGACAAACTGCAAGCTTCTTCTTCTTTATTCTGTGTTTTCGTCTAGGCAACGAAATCTGCATCTTTCAGTTCAACACATCCGATCTCAACAAACTCCTTATTAATCGTCAATTACGACATGCTTGAGGGCAGTGGGTCTTTAAAAAAAAACCCCAACCTCTGAACCCACACAGAGAATCGACGGTGAATGCTTCAAATGCATAGACACACCATGCCCCCCCCCCCCCCCTCTCCAAAAAAATAAATATATTGGACAGATTTCCAGTATCATCTTATTATCATCACTAATCATCACATATTAATTACAGTTGTCACTATCATTTTCCAACACAGTTTGCAACAGCATGGTACATCCATGTTGCGACAAAACACAATAATAAAAGCATGCAATTATTAGATGACAGCTCCATAAACTTAATTTAAAACACGCAATGCAAAATCTTTGAAAGCAATCAGTTCACATGGAGAAGAGGTTACATGGGTTACTAGAGGCAAATTCCTATACTTTATAGACACATCACGAGAAAGGGGAAACCGGAGAACATCGTAACAACAGGACTGCTAGTTAGTATCGTAACAACAAGGACAACTGGAGAATATCTTTATAAAAGGACAGCTGGAGAATATCTATACAACAGGACAGCTGGAGAATATCTATACAACAGGACAGCTGGAGAATATCTTTACAACAGGACAGCTGGAGAATATCTTTACAACAGGACAGCTGGAGAATATCTTTACAACAGGAGAGCTGGAGATTATCGTAAAAACAGGACAGCTGGAGAATATCCTAACAAAAAGACAACTGGAGAAAAAAGTAACAACATGAAATTGGAGAACATCGTAACAACATGAAACTGGAGAGCGTCGTAACACCAGGACACTTCAAGTGGGTGTGAAGCAGAGAGAGAGAGAGAGAGAGAGAGAGAGAGAGAGAGAGAGAGAGAGAGAGAGAGAGAGAGAGAGAGAGAGAGAGAGAGAGAGAGAGAGAGAGAGAGAGAGAGGAGAGAGAGAGAGACTAAATGAGAGGATTTGGACATTTTGACATGAAGAACATATGCCCCAGAATTTTTTGACATCACACAAGACAGAATGCTCTGGCGAAAGCTATCGCGGAGTCCAAAACCTTGTACCGTACAAGCTTTGTCTTGACTGGGGACTGAAAAAGTCAGATTGCTTCTCTGTTAATTAATATCACACAGTTTACAGTGTTGGAGTACATGCTCAGCATTTTTTGACAAACTGGATGTTGTAAAGACTCTTGGAAAAAAAGGGGGGGGGGGGGGGAAGGGTGGGGCGTGAAAAGTGAGGAGGCACACATAGATCATTACGGTCTGAGGAGAATGGCGCTGCGAAGAGTTTACCAGGGGATCTGGCCGACCCTTAACACTCAATGGAAATTCGAGATGGTTGTACAGTTACTGGTGCCATTGGAATCGGAACTCTTCGCTTGCTGCTGAAGATGGGGACGGAGCGCTCAGTATTTTTAGGTGCCAAACTGCGGGAACAAATCTCCGTATTTCCCACACCGAAAAACTGGAACATATGTTGGTGAAATCTCTTATACCCAGCCCTTAGTAAGAATACGACACACTGACCCTCTCTAGAGATGTAATGACGCGAGTCTTAGGGAGTAACTGTTGTGTTGGTATTTAGCCATCTTTCTTGTTTACGTCTTAAGTCTCTGGGTGGGTCAAGTCAAATGTGATTGCATCACGTCACTGCTGTGTCTGGCCAGTC